GAGGAGAAGGAGGAGAAGGAGAAGGAGGGGGAGAAGGAGGAGAAGGAGGAGAAGGAGGAGGAGAAGGAGGAGGAGGAGGAGAGGAGGAGGACGGCGACGACGACCACAAGACAACGACGAGCACGAGCAGCAGAGGAGAGAGAAGATGCGATTCTGGCGCCGTGCGCCTCGTTGTCGCTCGTTGCCTTGGCGCACGAAGGCAGCAGTTGTCTTCTTCAATGGCCCCCCCACCCCCCGGCACCCCCAGATCCGGAGAAAAAAAAAACAACAACAACATCACAAAAAAAAAAATGAAACCAAAAATGAGTTCGGGAAATCATGCCCCCCCCCAAAAAAAAAAAATCTCCCGAAATTATAGTTATTGGCGCTTGGGGATTCGGGGAGGCTTTGTTTTATTTGTTGTACTCTTATCGTTTTCTTTTCCGCGCTTTAGCCATCTTTCTCGATTTTGCTCGGCCTTCTTTCCTCCCTCCTGCGCTCTCCTCTTTCCTCCCCCCTCCTTTACTGAGGATTAGGGAGAGGGGTCCTTTGGTGAGTCACTTCTCTTCCTTCTCCTCCTCCTCCTCCTTTCGTCTTTGTCGTCGTCGATGTTTGTCGTCGTCGTCGTCGTTGTCGTTGTCGTCGTTGTCGTTGTCGTCGTGGTCGTTGTTGTCGTCGTCGTTGTCGCCGTTGTCGTTGTTGTCGTCGTTGTCGTCACCGTCGTCGCCGTCGTCGTCGTCGTCGAAGTTCGTCGTCGTCGTCGTTGTCGTCTTTGTCGTCGTCGTCGTCGTTGTCGTCGCCGTCGTCGTTGTCGTCGTCGTCGTCGCTCTTAGGCGGCTGCAGCGACGTCGGAGCAGTGGCTGAATCGGGTCGACATCGGCGTCGCGGCCGCGGGAGACTGGCGGCGCGCGGCGCGCGGTGGACGCAACGCCGCGAACCGCCAGTTCTGCTACAAAAGGCTCGGCGGCGAGCGAAGGGGGGAAGTGGGAAGGAGAAGGCCTTCTCGGAAGGCGGATGGATTTCTCAGAAGCCCTCGCGGCTTCTGAGTGGTCTTTTGTGTCTTCGGAGAAGGCTTAGAATACTTCTCAGAAGGCCAGAGACCTTCTCATCCTTTTGAGAAGGATTGCCCCCTCTCACTTCCCCCCCGGGCCCGCCGCCGAAAGGCGGCGCCAACACGAGCGGGCGAACGGGCTGCGGGCGTCGCGGGGCGGGGGCCTGGTGGAGGAGGACAGGGCAGAGCGGCGGCCGGCCGAGCGGCGCGGCGGGGGCGGGGGGGCCCAGGCGAGGCTGGACGATGCGAGGGAGCGGCTGCGGGAGGCGGAGCTGGCGTCGCAGGTGGCGGCCTTGCAGGCGGAGGCGGCGGCTGCCAAGGTGGTGGCGGCGCGGGCGGAGGTGGCGCAGGCTCGATAGGGGTCGTGGAGGGAATGTGGGAGCGGTGCGCGTGTGTGCATGCGGCCACCTGCTTCGCCCGCCCGAGGCCCCGCCTTCCTGCGCCCTGTCTCCTTAATTCAAGCTGCGCGTAGCCCGCTTAATTTTTAGCGGAAGAGGTTCGCTATCGCCCCGCCGACCAAAGAGCGCGCGCGCGTGGCCGACGAAGACCGCGCCGACGGCGACGGCGACGACGACGACAACGATGACGACGACAAAGACGACTTCTGACAACAGCGAACGTCGACGACGACGAACTTCGACGACAACGACGACGACGGCGACAGCGACGACGACGACGACGACGGTGGGAGGGCGAGTTGCCTGCTCAGCCTGCCCAGGCGGAGGCGGAGATCGCGGCGGCGCAGGCCGCGGCCGCCGGCCGCGGCCGCGGCCGCGCCGGCCGCGGTGGCAGAAGCCCGAGTTGTCGTCGTCGTTGTCGTCGTCGTCGTTGTCGTCGTCGTCGTCCATCTCGTTGCCGTCGTCGTCCTCGTTGTCGTCGTCTTCGTCGTCGCTTTCGCCACTTGCCAAAATTGCGGGCGGAGGCCCGAGTCGTCCTCCGCGTCGTCGTCGTCGTCGTTGTCGTCGTCGTTGGCTCCGCCGCTTGCTGGAGTCGTGCGCAGAGGCCCATGTCGTCGTTGTCGTCGTCGTCGTTGTCGTCGATGTCGTCGTCGTCGTCGTCGTCGTGGTCGTGGTTGCGGTCGTGGTCGTGGTCGTGGTCGTCGTCGGTTGTTAACGTCGTCGTCGCCGTCGTCGTCGTCGTTGTCGCCGTCGCCGCCGTCGTCGTCGCCATCCAGGCAGCGCCGGCCGCGGCGGCCGCTGTGGCGGAGGCCCGAGTCGGAGTCGTCGTTGTCGTCGTCGTCGTCGTTGTTGTCGTCGTTGCCGTCGTCGTTGTCGTCCTTCTCATTGTCGTCGTCGTCGTGGTCGTGGTCGTGGTTGTGGTCGTGGTCGTGGTCGTGGTCGTGGTCGGTTGTTAACGTCGTCGTCGTCGTTGTTGTCGTCGTCGTTGCCGTTGTCGTTGTCGTCCTTCTCGTCGTCGTCGTCGTCGTCGTCGTCGGCGCCTCCGCCGCTTGCCGGAGTCGCGGGCGGAGGC